AATGGACCCATATGTCTCCTCCCATAGCAAGCCATAGCAGACACAAAAGAGATCACACTTTATTTGATGCAGCACACATAAAGTAATCATATAGGAGGTTGCGCTGCACTTTATTATTGGATTGGATCAGTTGATGTGGGAATACATAACAGTGTCACAGCTGCAACAGGGAGCACCATATATTTGCATTTTTTAACACTGTTTGCACAGTTGGTGAGCACAGCGGAGACACTCTTTTAACAAAAGAGGAAGAGCCAAGAACGCAGATGGGGATCAAGAGGAGGTTTGGGGCCACACTGTGCAATATCAGTGCACAGGGCAGGTAAGTTTAAATCTCTTTTTCTTTTTTTTTTAGCTAAAACACTGGAGCAATCACATTAAGGGCATAATAGCTAGGGGACAAAAAATCTCTGTGGAATTGTCCTCCCTCCCTTTCTTGGTGCCTGAAAGCGACATTAAACCTTCATTTTATTTTACTAAAATAACAAACATGATATACTTACCTGCTCTGTGCAATAGTATTGCACAGAGCAGCCTGGATCCTCCTCTTGTGGGGTTCCCCCACAGCACTCCAGGCATCAACTGTTCAGCAGGTGCCCCAATGGAAAGCTACTTTTCATGGAGGCACCCATGTAGGCTCTCTCCCAAACCACCCTGTCTGCTGGCTCGATACAGAATTTGATTGACACTGCTGCTATCAATCTGCCAAGGGAGGAGGGAGACAGCAACAGAAGCCACTGCTCTTGTGCACATCGCTGGATTAGATCCAGCTTAGGTAAGTATACTGGGGGGGGGGGGGGCATCCTTTCAGAAGGTTTTTCTACTTAATGCATAGAATGCATTGAGGTGAAAAAAACTTAAGGCTTCAGAGCCACTTTAACCATGTGTGTATTTTGTTTAATGGTGAATCCATAGCTGGCTCCTTTGCTAAACTTATGAGGATATACTGTAATTTTTCTCGTGGGATAATTGTATACAGTATTTCTACCAAAGCATTTCTCAACTTTTTTTCTGTGTTTTTCTGCAGTTTAATTTCCACATCTCTTTGGTGTACTTTAACTTTTAAAGTTATGCTTTCAAAACTGGAAAAAAAAATGAGACAATAAAATTAGGTGAAGTGAAGCAACCTTATACAAAAGTTTTTATAAACAGGCCCCCACTGTTTTCTTAAAATTTTAATTGTATTATTTTATGTACTTATTTGCCATTTAGTAACAAAAAATTAAGCATCAGCCAACATGTTTTTTTTTTTTATATATATGTTGCAGTTTTTTCCCTCCTTTGAAGATTTAACCTTTTCTTCCTGTGCTAGTGACAACAAGTAAAACAGAAAATCAGTTGACAGCTATCAAATATGAAATTTCCCCTACCTCTGGGGGCCAATGTGAACTCAAGACAATTTTTTTCATAGGTTAGAACTTGTGTCAATATTTTATTGTTGTCTTTGGCCCTGTTTTAAAGTATTTACTTCACCCCCCAAATCTATCCAATGGGGAAATAGACACAATTTAATTTGTAAGAGAGTCTTGACGCTATTGCCTTCCTGTAATGTAAAATGTACCTGCGTGGGAACCCTACCCAAAAGAGTGTACCTAGTTTAAATGTTGCAGTTAGACTGTAGTGAGCATGAGCAACTGTTATAGTTCTGCTTTCAATGGATTTTCCCTATGCTCAGATTACTGTTTGCTTCTGCCTGCCTGTCGGGGAGCTTCTCTGGCAATAGAGAAAGAAAATACATTAATTAGGTGTTATGTCTTCCTGGGCAACCATCAGGAGCTTTATTTGCAAGTGTTGCATGCTTGGGAAGGATAACCTTGCAAGAGCTCTCTTGCCTCCTGGGTTGCTGCCAAGAGAGGAGGCAGTTTGATTTTGAGGTCAGGGCCTTCCAGGCTTGCTGTCTGGGAAGAGTTATTGCCAGAAGAGAAGCCGGGGACAGAGCCCTAACAATTCTAGTTTACCTGAATTGGAGAAGCAGGATTAAAAACTTTGCAGTTGAAGAGTGCCCTGGAGAATTGTGTAAAAGCTACTGTCGTTGAACATTGCCAGAAGTTCTGATAGATCAGGGGGTGCGTGTACTGTCTAAAAGCTGTTATACAGTCTGAAGAATACAGATTGCTAGTTAAAGGACATTTCTTCTGTATTGACTGTAAGTAGCTTTTTGGTAGCTTTTTTGGGTATCCTGTGCCTAAACCCTCTTTCCTTGAATTTGTTATGCTTAATAAACTCTGTCAAACTTCCTAAATGTCCGCCTCACAAAAAGTCAAAACTTCCACCTAGAGGTTTGAAATGCTAGCCTCCTGGAGGTCCTTTACTGCCTCTCGGGTGTTAGGGGATGCTACATATATAAAGATGGGTTGGACTCACAACTTAGGAACATAGATATTCCAACTTAATGTAGGCATGTATTTTGTCCAGAGATGGACTTTAACCACTGCCGTCCCTAGTTGCACATACACACCCTCTCTTTTTCTTCTACCCCCCATCTCGGTTCAGCTGCTGAAAAATATATAAAAAGTACTTATTAGTATGAATCATGTGACACCACTGGGGCCCTGCACTGTTACAACTTGGCTTTCTCTCTTTGCTCTCAGCCTCCAAACAGAGTGATGGAGGGGCCAATGGAAAGTGAACATGTGCAGGTGGAGAAGACAGCAGTTAACGTAACTTTGCTTTTATGACAGTGATCTTTAAAAGGTTTCCTCTCCCAGAACCCCCCCCCCCCCCCCAGTGTTATACTTAATTGTTCCTGACAATTAAGTATAATTGTGACCTTCTGCACAACTGCTATTTGCATGCATGATGGAAAAAAACAAATTAATAGCTGTGGAGAAGCCGTCAAACATTATAATGCACAATATATGGTCTTTTCATAGGTCCTCATGTTTGGTTTCTCACGGGCAGAATGCGGTTTATGACCCAAAGAAGTGTCTGCATGCATGCAAAAAATGAAATATGAAATTCTGGCATGTAAAAAAATAAATGGAAATTCTTTAATCTGCCTAGGTAATTGTACCAATCTGAGGTCCCTATCTCATATGCACTTATACATGCACACTCATACTTGGAAAAATGTGGGTATGAACCAATTAACTTACCACCATGTCTTTGGGGTGTGGAAGGAAACTGGAGAATGCAGATTAAACCTTTGCAAGCACAGAGAAAACATGAATACTCCATGCAGATAGTGTCCTGACTGGGATTCTAATTGTGGACCCCAGTGCTGCAAATCAGAAGTACCAACCACAAAGTTTTTCTAAAGTTTTGAATTAAGACAAGTTTAAAGCACTGCATTTTTTGTACTTTTTTAAAAAATCTATTTCATAGTAGTTGCAAAAATAAAAAGCAGCGTTCACTGCAATATTTATCTCCTCTCCAGGACTGTACCCCAAAGAATCACCTCTCCCAGTCTTGGCCACAGTTTGCCTTCCAGGCAGTCATCTAAGACACTTTCTGTGAACTCAGACTGTCAATGACATACCCCCTTGGGGAGTTCACTTTACTGAGCAATGCCTACACATTGAATATTACTGTGTGATTGCTAGGTAGTCCAGGATAAATCCTATGGCCATTGCTCTCTCCAAAAAAGAAAAGGAAAGACATGTGGCATCTGAAGACTACAGACTTCGTTTTTAAGTTACATATCTTTTGTGGTTTTTGATCTTGATTCAATAAAACTTAAAAAAAAATTGAAACCTACTGTATATTCATTCTACATTTTGTATCCATGTATCTTTACAAGCTAGCAGATGGGATGACATAGGGGCAGAATTCTAAGACAAGGTGTCCTAAGAGAATGAACATCTTTTCTCTTCTGTGAAAAGCAAACCCTTTTCACTTAGATTTGTTTTCCTTTTTAATCAAGATATTTTTTACTTCAATCAAAATTCTTTGTTAGTTGCAGAGCTATTAGTGCTCATTTTTCAGCTTTCTGCCTAATCCTCAGTGTCTCTTTAGAGGCTGTGCCCAGACCCTGACATATAAATGCAGGACCTGCCTACAATGTGACCTTTAGGCACTGGGGTCTGCTTGTGGCACTTTACTGAGGTCTATTTAAAAAAAATAATCATTTGTGAATTTCTTATCATGTGTTGAATGTCTATCATGTGTGTAATAGTTTCTTTGTTGCCTTTAGCTGAGTGAATGTAACATTCCCTATTGTTCAATCTTAATAGAAAAATAGCCATAGGAACATTTGATATGAGAGTTAACATTCACCAATAGAGAAAAAAACTAATACCATAGGATAAGAACAGTTGATCAGCAGGGGAAACAATATGAAAGAGACCTCAGCACTGTGTACAGTTTATGGAGAATCCTGTGCAAGCGGTTGAATGAATGGGTGTTGGCTGAGCAAACCTTCAGCTGCAATCAGGGGCGGACTGACCATATGACAACATGGGGGACATTTCAGGAGGGGAATACATTGTAACATGACAACATAGGGGACATTTCAGTCGTAAGGAAGACTTTTTCAAGCCATTGTATATATCACTGATATCTGTACACTGAGTGCTATTCCTTATATATAACACTGATATCTGTACACTGGGTGCCACTCAGTGTACTGATATCACTTTTTTATATAGGGAATATAGAATAGAAGACTACTATTAACCCCTTGCCTACCTGGCACTTATACCCCCTTCCTGCCCAGGCCAATTTTCAGCTTTCAGCGCTGTCTTACTTTGAATGACAATTGAGTATAGAAATTTTTTATAATTTTTTTTAGACCGATAGAGCTGTTTTTGGTGGTATTTAATCCTCTCAGGGTTTTTATTTTTTGCTAAACTAACCAAAAAACAACTGAAAATTTTGAAAAAGGTTTTTTTCTTCGTTTCTGTTATAATATTTTGAGCATTCATAGGCGGCACTGATGGGCACTGATAAGGACGCACTGGTAGGTGGCACTGATGGGCATTGACAGACATCACTGATGGGCACTGAAAGGCAGTACTCATATATATCACTGATAGGCGGCACTGATAGGCAGCACTGACTGCCACTGTTAGGTGGCACTGATGGGCACTGATAGGCAGCACTGATTGGCAGCACTCATAGGCGGCACTGACTAGCACTGATAGGCAGCTCAGATGGGCACTGATATGTGGCATTTATGTGCACTGGTAGGCACTGACAGGTGGCATTGACAGACACTGACAGGTGACATTAATGGACACTAACAGGTGGCACTGATGGGGTTACACTGATCATCAGGGCACTGATCAGTGCCCTGATGATCAGTGTAGATGTCCCTTCTGAGGAATGCCGATTACCGGCTCTCCTCTCCTCACCAGCTGTCAGCATGACAGCCGGTGAGGAGAGGAATGCCGATAACCAACATTTCCTTATTTACATGCAATCAGCTGTGATTGGACACAGCTGATCACATGACCGAGCCGATGTCTTCGGCTCTTTCGGCTGATCAATTATCCGCTGTGTCCCAGGGACACAGTGCACCACTGATCGTTGGAGTGGAGGATGTCATGTGATGTCCTCCCAGAACAAGAGAACCTCCGCTCGCCTGTCATTTCCTTGTAAGGCAGGCGGGAGGTGGTTAAGCTGCAGTGCTGTCAGTGTCACCAGGGTCGGGGGATTACACACTGACCTGCTGCAGGATACAGGGCAGGTCAGCACAACGATGACTTCTTCTCTGGCCGCCCGTCCTGTGGCAGGGATGTGGGACCCGACCCTCTGAGGAAACTCTGAGGAGAGGTGTCTGAAGTGCCTGCCACGGCGCTGCCCCGTTGCAACACTTCCTTTTCTCCACTTTTCAGCAGCGGCATATCCAGAGGATGGACTGAGCCTCTCATGGGGCCCTCTAGTGACCCCGGGCCCTCGGACAGTGCCCAAGTGCCCAAATGGTCAGTCCGCCCCTGATATCAAGTCACTTGGGGGGACCTGGCACAAGGTACACTAGCTGTTGCTCAGGCAATGTCTGGCTGGTGGATGTGGGCTCTGTAGATGTGGGGGGTTATTGGAGTCTGGAAGACCCTTTTAAAGATAAGTGAGACCCCAGATACCACCCTCACCATACATGAATGAGGAAGTGTTACTCATTCACAAAAAAAATCTATAGAAAATAAACATACAGTGTACTATCATAGTTAGCTAGATAACAATTTACAAATTCACCACCATGATACACCTGCTGGCTTAATTCTGTCCTTGAAGACTGTATATGCTGTATATTACTAGGGTTTTGCCTTTATGGAGCCTGGCATAGGTTAACTCTATCTCGTGATCACTCCCATGTGAGGTAAACACCCTGAAAATTTAGTGCTGCATCATACGTGAATGTGTTGTCTCATTTCACTATTTCTAGGTGGTACAGGGAGCGCAACATTCAAGCCTATAGGCATAAGAATAACATTTCATCTTTTCTTTTCAAGGTTCAGTCCACTAAATCAGCTCGCTCAAACTTTTCAGCATGAGCCCTATGTTTCCCAGATTTGCAAGGCTGCCACATGATCTTCTGTTCACATGTTCTCTAAGTTTTACCAGGTATATATTCAAATCTCAGCTGATGTCAACTTTGCATGTAAGGTCTTTCATTCAGCTCTTTGAGCTGAAGGCAGCCCCCAGTGATCACCAGCCTATTTTGCTTGGTAGTGTTTTGTTTGCTGTGTTTCCACACTTTAGACTACTTTGGAATGTCCCAGCTGTCCTAGAATTACTTCTAACCCTGTACCCTTAACTAATAATTAAGAAAACAGGACTTTTGACTTATATACATTTATTGAACTAGTAAAGGGGCTCAGGTTACTCTAGCTTAAAAACAAGAGAATTATCATTTAATGTTTTCTAACCTCCAATTTGCCCAGCATATAAAAAATTATTAAAGGGGTGATTTTACACTTTGGATAAAAAAGCTTTGGGCCCACCAGTATTGTAATTGGGAAAAAATCTTTGGGTGAAGAAATACAAAAGGGTTGATTTACTAAAACTGGAGGGTGCAAAATCTGGTGCAGCTCACCCACACATATTCACGTTTGCCAGGCTTTGACGCTATTCTAATTTAGTGATAAACTAAGCGCCTTCTCTTTACATGCAAAAAAAAGTGATATATACTGCCTTACACAAACAGTGTATATTCTATGCAATAAAATATAAATAATTACTCAACCATTTAGTGTGCCAATAAAAATAAAAATAATACAAAAAAATGTTAGCTGCCCCTTGGAGTGGAAAAACACTTGTGACCATATAATAAAATAAGGTATGGCGCTAAACATACATATTAGATGTGCAATATTCTAACTGTGATAGAAATATGTAAAAACCTAAAAGTGATTTTGTTCTTGACTTTGGACTCATTAATATATAACAAAAAAAAACAAAACTCCCACACCAGGTGTAGATTAAAATCAATGGTGCATATTCTTGTGGTCCAAATAAATTGCTCCATGCAGATCCTTTGTACTCCACCACCATAAGACAATATATTGCACTCACCAACCATCCATGACCTCTTAATTAAAAGAATGTCTAATGTGCTTTGTGTCCCCAAGAGTTTGGAACATCAGTGTATATCTTCTCAATGATCTCCCAATTTACTCCATAGACAAGGTTAGCAAGAATCAGAAGCAGAAATGTCTCATAGTATAGTAGGTTTATTAAAAAAATGAATAAAATCAACCAAATATGCACTCACATTAGTTGGTGCCCAATCCTCGGCACTAATACACTCAGCTCAAGATGCTAGCACCGCCAAAGTCGGCGTGCGTTCTATAAACCGGAAGCGGATATGATGTCACCGGACCTGGATGTGGCTGGATGCAATTCTACCTCCACATGTTTCGACTGCCAGGCATCTTCAGGAAGCTAGCTATTCTGTTTTTCTATCAGAGCCCTGAGTCCTATCTATGTGCAAGCTCTATGTTGGTTAGTGTAAGAACTTACACAGGGTTAATGATCTTCTCCACTCCTGTTTAGGCCTGCTGATTCACTACACTGCCTCTTTGGAGGAAGAGGTCACATACTCCCCCTACACATAAACACCATGGTATAAATAAAATATACTGTATACAAAAATACAATGCATTCCTTGAAGTGATTATTTGTACTTAATAATTTGTTCATGCCCTAGAATTTAGGAAACACTTTATAGGCATCTGAAAATCATCTGGAGTGCCACACTTTTTAGGTACAGGTCTTCACCAGGTGACAAAACAATAACCTTGGGATTAGCTATCTGCATTCTGTTTCTTTATGGAAATTCCATTTCTTCTGTACATACTAAGTTATAAATAATAATTCTAACTAGTAACTGCATGTAAAAGTATTTCCTTGTGCCCCTATAATTCAAAATATATTTCCAGCAAGATATACCTAATTTGGTCACTATAGCATTATGGTAGGTATCACCTTAACTGTTAGATTCTTTATAGATATTTAGATCAAGAAGTCATAAATGCATCTCTCTAAACCTTGAGAACAGCATAATTTATTGAGTAATAATTTAGTTTAGCATTTACTTTTGTGAGTAGCAGTCAAACACTTAAAAAATTGAATTTTACAGGATAATCAGGTGATTTAATCATAGATGTTGAAGACGAAAAATGGATTGCATAAAAGAAGCACAGTCCCTATTCACATTTTCTTATTTAGGCTGTAAAATTTGTTTACAACAATCATATTCTCAGTGTACAAGCAGATTAATCTTATCCTCCCTATTTCTAAAAAGTGGTTTGATCTTAAAAGTTTCTTGAAGTCCAAACAACTAAGTTTTATGCTAAAACTAAAGTATGCTAACTATTTACTGCATAGATGTAGATACAAATAGAAAATAATGTCTTAATATTGATGCTATAATTTGTTTTTTTATGATTGTGCATTATATTTATATAAAACATACAAATCATTGGTCTAGGAAATAAGCTTTCTGCATGCTGCCAATATTTTTCTTGGTACAAAAGCACACATATGAGGTCTTATATATCAATATTTTTACAATTAGTATCACAATTGGCAAGGGGGTTTTAAAGGATAACTATACTGTTATGAAACCTAATCTTAACTGCCTACTTCACTCTCCCAATTCTAGATCAGTGGGTGACCTGGACCAGGAGTTGGGGCCTATGCTAAGAGGTGCTACAGCCCTGTTCTTAGCACATGAGTCAAGTGATACTGCACATATGTCACATTTCTCCCTAGGTCACAATGCCACCCTCATTTCCCCAAAAGCTGGTAACAAGGCAGTCAGCTCAAAGTCTCCTGTCTGTGCTAGAAAATCATGGTAGGTGACACATTTGACAAAAAACAGTCCAGTTAGAAGAAATGCAGAGAATGTTACAGTCAAATTGGGATAACACCTACTTTACATTTTTGTATGTTGCTATGGACATAGCATAACTTAACATGACAACCTGTAATTTTTAAATATTTTCAAGTGCTTCCTACTTAAAGTGTCATTAAACTCCCGTCATTGAAAACAATTAAACAAATGCTGTATTATACGCTGTTCATACTCACACAATCACTATGGGATTTGTTTTCTATATTCTGAAAAAAAAAAAACTGGTTGATTCTGCTGTTCTCTTTCTCCCTTGACTGTCAGTGTCCACCCTGCAGTTGAGGATTTTGCAGAGTAGTGTTCAGCACACATCAGGGCAGGGGCGGACTGACAACTCATGGGGCCCCCAGGCAATAGGGGATCATGGGGCCCCTGTGTCCTTGCCAAACTCAAAAAAGCCTATGAAAAAGGTACCAGGGGCATCTCATGGGGCCCCCTACTGACCCTGGGCCCTCAGGAAGTGCCCGAGTTTCCAAATGGTCAGTCCGTCCTTTTTAGGCTTTTTTGGGTGTGCTTTTGAGTGTCAGAAAGGACACAGGGGCCCCATGATCCCCTATTGCCCCAGGGGCCCCATGAGTTATCAGTCCTCCCCTGGTACACATGCTCAGTTTTCAATGTATTTTCTACCCTTATCATTTTCTCTCTATCACTTCTGAGCAGCCCATGTAACTATAAAGTCACACACGTGGGCATATACACTCTGGTAAATGACAGCCCACTCTCTTCACCCTCCTCTTTCATGCCCACTAACTAGCTAAACACAATGAGGGGTGGGATATTATTATTATATATATTTCTTGATTGATAGAGGCTTCACCTCCATGTTTTTCTAAGACACAGACTGGAGAGGCGTTACACAGCCTGTGACTGGCAGAAATCTGCACACACCATGTTATGTTAAAAAATAATAAAGATTTAATTTCAAATATATATTTTCTATGACAAATTAAAACAGTTTATTAATATTAATTATTTGCCCAGTAGCAGAGGACCATAAGCTACTCCTGCCACTTTTTCCCTACAGACAGGCTGGGAAATAGCTGGGTCATGTGACAGCTGTATATCAATTAGGAAAAAGGTAATTAGATTATTTTTTTTATTGAAATAATTACAGTGCCATCATCCACATACAGAAATATAAGGGGTAGTGTAAATCAAGCTGCGTGTTTAATACCCCTTTAAAGTCTTTCCACGCTATCCCCGCTTTATTATGTTTAGAAGGGTGCTGTGCAGTAATGTTTAACATAATTACTGTACTTTATGGCAGCTATTCACTATCAATTGTAAATTAGATTTGAACACTGTCTGTCCTAACAAAGGGTTAAACATTTAGAAGCTGGCCTCCTGCATTGTATGTTCAGTAAGTCCTTAGTCTCTGTGTGGGGACAAAGACATCTAGAAATGCTATCTGCCATGAAGTCTTCACCACAGAAACTTGTAAAAATATGTACAGTAAGTGGTGTGAATGGGAACACATAACCAACCTATAGTGGTGTTTTCTCAAATTTGACTGCAAAAGTCAAAATATACAGATAAAACCAGTGCTTAATTAGTCAATTGACACTTGATACTTGCAGACATGCAGGTGCTTATAGCAGTTTCAAACGCTCACCACACTGTTCCAACCCAGCATATATATAAGGGTCTAATAACACTTTCCCAAACAGATGTGTGGTGCCTTCTTTCTTCTCAAATATTCACCTTCAAAGCTCCAGGATAGTGTTCCGCAAAAAAAACATATAAAAAACATATAGTGTAGTATATCCAAAACACAATATAATCAATATCACTTATAATAATGTGCTCACATATACTGTATGCTCAAGTTTATACTGTGCATCACCCAGTGTTCTCCACAGTGTTGCATCCACATGCCAAAATACCCTTAATGTACTAATAATCCTTCTGAGCTTTCATCAATACATTTCAATAAATTTCACTCTTCCTCAATTCCCCCCAAACATTCTCCTAATTCTCCAATCCTCCTAAGTATTAGTCAAAAACAAAATATATATAAAAAAATAGTTTATTCCCATTACACCAAATAAACAAACATAAAAATAAATGTGCTCACATATACAAAATGTGCTTCAGTGTGTTAAAATATATCATCACATGCACTCCCATCTCCATGCGTCAATCCTCATGGCAATATACCTTACCCAGAGTCAATGCCCACGTCATTGGACTTTGCTTTTGCTAATATCAATCTCCTGCTCCATTTCCACACATGTGAAAGTGGAGAAGGAGATGAAATGGTCATCATCCCAGAGAAATTACTTGCTTTCACAAGAGTTAGGGGAACCCACTCAATTGTACCCCATTGTTGGGATTTCATTAATTGGGAGTGGGAAACAGGGAGTAGGATGAGAGAGGTTGGAGCCTAGAGTGGAATTTCCACATGGTGCTGCTAGGCCCAGTTCTTATACTATGCACCTTCTGATGACACTCAGGATTCACCTGCTGCACCCAATGACTCAAAGTACTGTGTCAAGATGTGGATGTGACATCTGTGAAACTTGAGTATAGAAAGAGGGAGAGAAGTAAGTTGGAAGTGCAAAGTTCTTATATCAAAGGAATAACCAACTTGCATGCACATATACCCAGTACATGTGTGATGCAGCCAAATACTGTTGGCCCTGTGTTACCTGCCAGCTGGTTGGAAAGACAGGAGATGTCCAAAGGGCTCCATTATAATCATTGCCTGTAACTGAAAAATCCTTAAAGGATGGATGTGGATATCATTGGACCACAAGACATCTCAGCAGTTCATGCAAATTTACCTTGACAGTAGTGTATTCAGCCCCCGACACCAAGAGGCTCTGGCACGATCCTTTTTCACGGTGGTCAAGGTCATTGATGCTTTGTATCAAATCTTTATGAGATGTGAGTATCCTGTTATATTATGTGTATCTAGGAAAGAATCCAGGCCTTTTTCAAAGCAATCAACTGAGCTAGCCAGAACCAACTCTTGAAAGAGTCTATTTCACATTTTCACAGCTCTTACTGTGAAGAAACCGTTACATATTTGAAGCTTAAATCTCTTTTCCTCCAATTGTAAAGAGTGCCTCCTTGTCCTCTGTGATGACCTCAGGGTGAATAACTCTACACCGAGTTCACTATATGAACCACTGCTGCATTTATAGATGTTGATCATATCCCCCTTAATCTCCTCTTCTCAAGAGAGAATAAATTCATTTTCCTTTAATCTTTCCTCATAGCTGAGCTCCTCCATGCCTCTACACATGCTCCACATGAGGTCTTACTAATGATTTGTACAGGGGTAAAAAGATATCTTTCTCCCTGGAGTCTGTACCTCTATCAATACAAGAGAGGATATTGCTCACAGCTTGGCATTGCATGCCATTATTAAGCATATGATCTAACAGAAATCCCAGATCCTTCTCCACCATTGATTCCCCCAGTTGCACCCCCCCTAGTATGTATGATGCATGCATATTCTTAGCCCCCAAGTGCCTAACCTTACATTTATCAACATTAAACCTCATTTGCCACATAGTTGCTTAATTAAACAGTGCATTGAGGTCGGCTTGTAAATTGGAGACATCCTGTAAGGACGTTATTCCACTGCACAGCTTGGTGTCATCTGCAAAGACTGAAATTATATTTTTAATCCCAGACCCTATATCGTTTATAAATATATTAAAAAGTAAGGGTCCCAACACTGAACCTTGGTGTACACTACTAACAACCCTAGACCATTCAGAGTATGAATCATTAACCACTACTCTCTGAATATGATCTTTTAGTTTTCTAACTATTTACATACGGATTTTTCCAAGCCAGTAGACTTTACCTTACACATTAGCCGTGTGTGGGGAACGGTGTCAAACGCTTTTGCAAAATCCAAGTATACCACATCCACTACCACCCCTCTGACAAAGGTTTTGCTCACCTCCTCATAAAAAGAAATCAGATTTGTTGGACAACTTCTGTCTTTCATGAATCCACGCTGTCTGTTGCTTAAAATATTTTTTCCAGCAAGAACTCATCTATGTGGTCTTTTAATTTAAACTCTCCAGTATTTTCCCAACTATAAAAGTTATACTAACAGGTTTATAATTACTTGGTAAAGAGTTTGACCCCTTTTTAAATATAGGCACCACATTGGCCTTACATCAATCCAGTGGTGCTATGCCAGTCATTATAGAGTCCTTAAAAATTAGAAACAATGGCTTTGAAATGTTGTGCTCCTTTTACACTATATGGATTGCATGAATTTTTAAACATCATTCTGGCAAAGCAGCATCCTATGAAATGGCATGAAGAGACTTTTGGTAAGCTCGCATTCTATTCACTATTACTGGTGACAAGCGGCACTAGTGATATTGGAATGTTTGAAAATAACTTCAGGAGTCCATATTGGATTGGAGCACTTTTATTTTGCAATCATGTTACATTCTTTTTAAATAGGACCTTTTTTTTTATAATAACTTCACTTCTTTTATATTTTATTTTTCATATTTTTCAGTATAATTTATTTGTTCATTCATTTTTCACTGTATGTTTATATGTCACTGTGGATTTCAGTATGTTTAATATTATTTAATTCCACAATTTGATATATGTGGCTATAGCCAACACTTTTTATTCATTTGGTATATATTGGAGGGAATATCCTCTTTTGTGTTTGCTTCTTACGTTGATTTATTATTGCACATTTTTGCACAGTTTTTTATTTTAAGGATTTTCAAATGACCTAGCACACCAATGGACACAAGAAAGAAAAAAAATTACATGGCATTTCTGGCAATCATGAATCGATAGGTATGGTCAAACTGTGCTGTTAGTGGGAGTGGCTTAGTATACAGATAAATAGAACCTGAGTCTAATCACTTTAAACATACAGTACACTGTATGCTACAGTCTTTGTACCCACAGGTTATGCTATACCTACTGTACCACATGTGAGAGGTTTACAGAAACATATAAACCTCAGCATAATCATGTTTGAATATATTTTTTTTTAAATTAACAAACATACTTACCTGCTCTGTGCAATGTTTTTGCACAGAGCAATGGTTTTGCACAGAGCAGTCTTGATTGTCCTCTCTCGGGTCTCCCACTGGCGCTAATGGCTTCTCCCCCTGCTGACTGCCCTCAAAGCAAGTTAAGTGCTATGAGACACAGTGTGTGGCTCAGCCTAACCCCCCCCCCATCCCTCCTTACTCGCTGTGATTGACAGCACTTGGAGCCAATGGCTCCCACTGCTGTGTCTCAGCCAATCAAGAGGGACATACCCGGGAGGGCTGCTGCTCTCATGCACATCGCTGGATTGAGCCTGGGCTCTGGTAAGTATTGGGAGGACTGAGAGGGTAGCTGCACACTGATTTTTTTTTTTTACCTTCATGTATAGAATGCATGAAGGTAAAATTCTTCAGCCTTTATAATCACTTTAAGTCTACCTTAAAGAAG